TTGAGCATGGGGGTTTTCCAGTACCACATCCATCACCCTTTCTCCCATGTTTTGGGACCCCCATCGCTCCAGTTTTTTCCCATCAATCCCCTTGTGATTAAAATCACCCAAAAACTATAATTTGCTCCCCCCCATATGGCTCTCTGGCCCCCCTCCTAGTGTTTACCGGAGTTTACCTGGAGAGATTTTCCGGGTCAACCCCCCCGGGGGCCCGGTCTGAGCCCAGGCCCCTGGTGGATCAAGCTGTCAACCGGGCTGTTTGCTCTGGCTGCACGAAAACCCAACATACGAGCCGCAGCCCGGCGTCGGGAAAACTGACTTTAGGTGCTTGTCCAGTGCCACTTGAAAAACTGCCCGGGGGCTGTTGGTAATCCCCCTTTTGGTGCGGGGGGCGTTGAACAGTCTCGGGCCCTGACACTATTGAGGTCTCTTAACGGCTAGTGAACCCCCGCTTTTCATTGGGGGGGTGGTGCACGTCTGCCCAAGTCTTTTGCTTTTATGGGGGATTTTCGTGTGCAAGTTCGGTACTATCCCTCTAGGATTTTCCAGGGTAATAAATGATCCTCCCTCCTGCGTTCCAGGAATACAGTTTGGGAAACCCTCAAGCCTCCAAATAATTTGAGGTGTTTTATCTCCTTTTATGCGCCCCGGAAAGTTTCTGTACATTTTCTGGGTCGGAAATTTTCCCACCTGCCTTAAAAGGGGTGCTGTTATGTGCCAAAAATTTTTCCACCCTAATAGAACAAGTGACCTGAAGAGTGTCTCGGGGCTTGGCCCCCCAGTTTGAAGTTCTCATTTCCATCCTGTCTTTTTTCTAGCAATGCGTTGATACAATGTTATGGTCCTTGAAGGTGAGATCCCCGACATGATCACCCCCGGTCTTTGAGGGGGGGTTTTTTGCCTATTTTGGGGCCAGAATTTGTTTTTTACTCTGTTTGAAGATTTAATTTCCTCATTTTTACCTATCTGAGAAATTTAAAATTTTTCTCATCGTTGAACTTCAATTTTTTTCTGCAGCCCACTGAAAGTTTTGGGTTATTCTGCCGGGAGTTTTGCAGTGTCTGCAATGGAAGACACTGTCATGCAATTGGGGGGCACTGCAAAGGAAGACAGGGTGCTGTGGCGACATCCTTGTCTATGTCGGATTTAAGGATGAGAACAAGATGGAGCGGTATTGTGCCTTTGGAAACAGAGTTTTATATATATATATATATAATATTATATATAAATATATATATAATATATATATTATATATATATATATATAATATATATATATATATAATACATTTATATAAAAAATTATATATAACATGTATAATAAATTTAATAATAATAATATATATATATATATATATATATATATATATTATATGGAACGAGCTTTTCACCGTAGCGCCTCGACTTTACTCTGTTGACGACTACCTTTTTCTGTTAGTGAGGAAATTATAATCCTCGACCGACTTTTCGGTTGCCTTTTGCTCTTTGCTCTCATTTTATTCTTCTCTTGGCCTCCTGCTGTTCTGTGGTGTTTGTACATACGAATTTCACCTTAGGGTCCTCCAGACGGATTGTTCCTACTAAGAATCCCTTTCCCCCGTGCCATCAATTTCTTCATTTTCTCAAAAACCCCATTGGTTTTTAAGAGCTGAAACTCCCCCAACTCCCCCCTCTGTCTTTCCTGAGTTTGATATCTGGGAGGGAAAAAAATTGCACTGTTTTCATGCTGGGGTTTTGTTTTTTGTGAGTGCATTAGCCTGGGATGTCTCCTTGATTCTTTCATCCACTCATACTTACTTGTTACCATCTGCATTTGTATACCACACCTTCAACTTCTTTTCTAAGACTGTGGTCTGGGGTGTACATTGGTGTTGGGGAAGTGGGAGACCTGATAAGGAATTATGGGTGGTTGCTGTGGAATGGTGGAGTTTGTGATACAGTGGGTTGGGGCATTGGATGTGGCATGAGTGTTTTGGTTTAAAATGCTTGGTTACACAGGGGTTGACCTGGTTGTGGGACTTCAATAGGAAGTTGTGAGGGAGGCTGTATTTGATCTTCTTCCTGGGTCTGGGATCTCATGTCTGTCTCCTCCATCCCCTCTCTTTCCTCCTTTTCCCTTTGTACCATCTCTCTCAGTTTCTGCCTTTCTTCTGTGTTCTGTCACGGTCGAGATACACCTTCCAGTATGCTGGCATGTCCGTTATCGATTCTGCCTTGAAAGTCACTTTCACTGGCTGGGTGCTCTTTCTTGTGTGTGTATGTGTGTATGCGTGTGTGTGTGTGTGTGTGTGTGTGTGTGTGTGTGTGTGTGTGTGTGTGTGTGTGTGTGTGTGTGTGTGTGTGTGTGTGTACTCACCTAGTTGTACTCACCTAGTTGAAGTTGCAGGGGTCGAGTCCAAGCTCCTGGCCCCGCCTCTTCACTGGTCGCCACTAGGTCACTCTCCCTGAACCATGAGCTTTATCGTACCTCTGCTTAAAGCTGTATATGGATCCTGCCTCCACTACATCTCTTCCCAAACTATTCCACTTCCTGACTACTCTGTGGCTGAAGAAATACTTCCTAACATCCCTGTGATTCATCTGTGTCTTCAGCTTCCAACTGTGTCCCCTTGTTACTGTGTCCAGTCTCTGGAACATCCTGTCTTTGTCCACCTTGTCAATTCCTCTCAGTATTTTGTATGTCGTTATCATGTTCCCCCTATCTCTCCTGTCCTCCAGCGTCGTCAGGTTGATTTCCCTTAACCTCTCCTCGTAGGATATACCTCGTATCTCTGGGACTAGTCTTGTTGCAAACCTTTTTCACTTTCTCAAGTTTCTTTACGTACTTGGCTAGGAGTGGGTTCCAGGCTGGTGCCATATACTCCAATATGGGCCTAACGCACACGGTGTACAGGGTCCTCAACGATTCCTTATTAAGGTGTCGGAATGCTGTTCTGAGGTTTGCTAGGCGCCCATATGCTGCAGCAGTTATTTGGTTGATGTGCGTTTCAGGAGATGTACCTGGTGTTATACTCATCCCAAGATTTTTTTCCTGGAGTGAGGTTTGTAGTCTCTGGCCCCCTAGACTGTATTCCGTCTGCAGTCTGCTTTGCCCTTCCCCAATCTTCATGACTTTGCACTTGGTGGGATTGAACTCCAGGAGCCAATTGCTGGACCAGGTCTGCAGCCTGTCCAGATCCCTTTGATGTTCTGCCTGGTCTTCGATCGAATGAATTCTTCTCATCAACTTCACGTCATCTGCAAACAGGAAAACTTCGGAGTCTATTCCTTCCGTCATGTCGTTCACAAATACCAGAAACAGCCCTTTCTTAGGACTGACCCCTGTGAGACCCCACTGGTCAGGAGGTGCCCACTCTGACACCTCGCCTCGTACCATGACTCGCTGCTGTCTTCCTGACAATTATTCCCTGATCCATTGTAGTGCCTTCCCTGTTATCCCTGCTTGGTCCTCCAGTTTTTGCACTAATCTCTTGTGTGGAACTGCGTCAACTGCCTTTTTGCAGTCCAAGAAAAGGCAATCCACCCACCCCTCTCTCTCTTGTCTTACTGCTGTCACCATGTCATAAAACTCCAGTAGGTTTGTGACATAGGATTTCCCGTGTCTGAAACCATGTTGGCTGCTGTTAATGAGATCATTCCTTTCTAGGTGTTCCACCACTCTTCTCATGACAATCTTCTCCATGATTTTGCATACTATACATGTCAGTAACACTGGTCTGTAGTTTAGTGCTTCATGTCCATCTCCTTTTTTAAAGATTGGGACCACATTTGCTGTCTTCCATGCCTCAGGCAATCTCCCTGTTTCGATAGATGTTATTAAATATTGTTGTTAGGGTACACATAGCGAATCTGCTCCTCTCTCAGGACCCATGGCGAGATGTTATCCGGCCCATTGCCTTTGAGGTATCTAGCTCACTCAGAAGCCTCTTCACTTCTTTCTCGGTTGTGTACACTGTGTCCAGCACATGGGGGTGTGCCCCACCTCTCCGTCTTTCTGGAGCCCCTTCTGTCTCCTCTGTGAACACTTCTTTGAATCTCTTGTTGAGTTCCTCACATACTTCACGGTCATTTCTTGTTGTCTCTCCTCCTTCCTTCCTTAGCCTGATTACCTGATCCTTGACTGTTGTTTTCCTCCTGATGTGGCTGTATAACAGCTTCAGGTCAGATTTGGCATTCGCTGCTTTGTTGTTTTCATATTGTCGTTGGGCCTCTCTTCTTATCTGTGCATATTCATTTCCGGCTGAATGACTGCTCTCCTTATTCTCCTGGGTCTTTTGCCTTCTATATTTCTTCCATTCCCTAGCACACTTGGTGTGTGTGTGTGTGTGTATATGTGTGTGTGTTTCTGTGTGTAGGTAAAAATTATATTGAGTTGGTGAACACGATTATTTTGTGTGTGTTCTGAAGTAATATGTATAAAAATGTGAAATGTTCTGAACATTATGAGTAAAAAATCCTTTACATGTCTTAGCTTAAAGTTTCCCTATGTTGACTTTGGTCAATGACTTATATTACTGAAACAAGGAAATATTCGTGTTATATTGTATTTACCGAAAATGTGTATTACTGAACATTTTACTTAAAAAATGCATTGTTATTAACAAAAGAGTGGAGTGTAAACCTCTAATACCTGGGACTGGGAGACTGTACACACATGATGCAATATGTATGAGCACCCTCATGATGTCACATCAACTAGTTTTACCTACTCAATCCTGTTTCGTTGGGTGTGATGTCACACCTCTCTTGATTCAACCTGTTATACTCCTGTAGAGTAGACGTATTGCACCATGTTAGAAAGGTCCAAGTCAATGCCCAACTTATTAAGGTCATGTCACATTCCCTGAAGGATCTTCATAGACTATGACTACCATTTTTGAATGATTAACTCTGACGCTCATAGGAGAAAACCTTACGCTACCCCATAGGGCAGTGGTTCCCAAACTTTTTCAGCTTGTTACCCAATTTAACATGCCACATAAAGCATGTTACCCCTTTCACAAAATGTTGTTATTATTGATATATATGGCTAAATTAAAACACTTGAAATATTTTCTTTTATTTATTGTATTTGAACATTGTGCGTCTCTAATGACTATTACCAAAGATGTCAAGAACATCAGTGGGATGGATGGAGTTGCATACTTGAAGCTAGTTTAGGAATTCTTGGCTTCGTGGTTGAAAGTGCCAGCCTGGCATCGTTTGCAACATTCAAGCGAGTCCTCTTTTTTGTTTTCATACCCAGCACAGTTGAGAAGCCCTTCTCGCATAGATACGTTGTTGAGAATGATACCAACAACTTCAAGGCTCTCTTGGACAGAGTTGGCGAGTCAGGTAGTCGTGAAATCCAAAAGGAATCTGCATTTTGGTTTTGGAATTCGATTTTCAAGGCTTCATTGGCTCGCATTGTGATCCACTCCTCCTTTGCAGGGAAATCATCATCATGAATGGCATCATCAGGTACAGAGAAGGGATGAATGATCCACTGAAGAGTGGCTGTTTCTTGGTCACTCTCTGGAAAGTAGTGATGCATGCTTGTTTCAAGCCCCTTCAAATGGTCGCTCATTTCTTTGTTGATGGTCTGTAGAAGTGATCCAGTATCATGACTGTTCTCCTCAACAAACTGGTCTAGGGTGGGAAACTGGGCGATCACTCCTTGCTCCAAGCGCCGAATCCAGAGTCTCAGTTTCCCCAGAAATGCAGTCACAGTGTGATGGGCATCAATGACAGTCGTGTTTCGGCCCTGGAGTTGCAGATTACCACTGTTCAGCTCCGCAAATATGTCAGCCAAGTAACAAAGTCGAGCAAGCCACTCCTTATCGGTGAACTTGGTAGCAAAAGGAGATCCTTTTTGTTCCAGGAATTCCTGAACAGCTTTTCGGAGCTCAATGACTCGACGTACAACCTTGCCTCGTGACAACCAGCGAACATCGGTGTGGTAGAGCAGAACTTGATACTGCTCTCCCATTTCCTTGCACAGCTCCTTGAATATACGCGAATTCACATCTCTGGACTTGATGAAGTTGACGATTTTCAACACATCTTCAAACACTAACTTCAGATTACCAGGCAGGCTTTTCGATCCAAGAGAGTACCGATGAATGATGCAGTGATCTACAGAAATTTCTGGATTGATAGCTTGTATGAGGCCCCGTAATCCACGATGACCACCCATCATCGACGGTGCTCCATCGACGGAGACCTGGAATAAAAAGAAAAATTATTATAGACTGCGTCAGTTAGTCATTGTTACTTATCTTTTGCGTTATAATTATATGGTTTTAATTAATTATTTCGGGACTTGAGTATTTCAGTACGACAGGCACGATATTTTTTGTGTGAATCATGTACAAAATATTAGCTACACTACAGTTACTTGTACAATAAATAAAACTGTATATGACTATATGCCGTGTAATTAATTGTATTTATACTAATTTAGACTTTATATAAACATCGTTTCCTACCTGTTGAACGCTGTTCCAATCCAATCCATTCTTGGTAAAGAAACTGTTGATGATATTGAAGACATCTTCTCCCTTTGTGGCTGTCAGCAGATCCTCGCATAATAGGAACTCTTCTTTGATCTTATCCTGGTGGACGTAACGGACGAACCCAAGGAGAACAGCACAACTGGCTACGTCACACGATTCATCAAATTGCAAGGAGAATTTGCCATATGAGCTTTCCTTGATCTCTGTTGTAACTTGGACAGGATATCTGATGCCATGTCATCGACTCGTCGGCGGATGGTGTTGTTTGATAGAGATATGACACTCAGTTTCTTCGCTTGATCCTCCCCACATACCTTGCTTGCCATCTCGTATGCACAAGGCATAATCAGATTCTCTGCAATGGTGTGGCATTTCAGTTGTTCGGCAATTTTATATGCAACACAGTAGGATGCTTCGACCGCAGCTTGAAGCTTTTGGGCTTGAATTCCAGATGAGCCGAACTGGATATTCTTCAGTGCTACATCCTGGCGCTGAAAATAAGCCTGATCCTTATTTTGAAGATTTGGATGGCACTTCTGGAGGTGAGCTGAGAGTTTTGATGGCTTGAGGCTTTCATTTGTCAACACTTTGTGACATGCCACACATTGTGGCCGATCCTCTCCACCAGAAGTTAAATTCACAAAGCCATGGCGAAGACAGGCGTCAGTGTAGGTGCGCTTTTTGGACATTTTCTTGTTCAATCTGCAGAAAAAGAAGAATATCCATGCATACACTGCAAAACGCAAGGTACATAATTTCTCGTATGGCAGCTAACACAAGTTCACTGATGCAAGCACACACGCATACATTCAAAATTGTCAGGCTGCAAGTATCATGCTTGTCAGCACAAGAGCACCGTGTAGCGCGAGACTACAGTGAACGTATACAGCCTCGCATACTCTGCTAATCCTAGCAAAACCATTGAAAATGTAAGAACCACACATACATTATAATAAAAAATTAATAATAGCTACAAATTCACAGTAACAGTGGGTAAATACTAACTATATACTGCACAGGCAGTACACATACATACCAGCTTATGTCTACCTCGGCTGATGCTCACAGATAAACTGACAGTGTGAAATAGAGGCAGCCTCAGGAAGTGAGTGACGCGTACTGGACAGGTCGATCTGGGCTACTGAGTGACTTTTGTCCTGAAGCATACTTGTCAAAATACTTTTGGGTTTCCACACACTTAGCTATATATTTCTTCTTTTCTAATACTGTATATTAGTTTTTGATGTTTATTGTTATTTGGTTTAACTTTATTACTTACTTATAATAGGTTTACTTTACAACTTTATATACTAAGACAAAGTTAACAATAATCCTCATACTGGGTACCGCATTGTTTTCTTGATTTTCAGAATTCATAACTTTTTTTGTCACCCCTCCATTACCCCCCAAAAATGGTTAAATTACCCCCAGGGGGTAATTTACCCCCAGTCTGGGAACCACTGCCATAGGGGATTACGTTCAGTCTTGATCCAAGAAAGTGGAGGGGTAAAGGCAAATCTTCTTGTTTGTATTACCATTATCGAAATTTTAATGGGTATCCATAGGGAGGAGTGAAAATGTACCTTGGAGTAAATCTTGATCCATGGAAGTGAAGGGTGACTCAGAAATATTCAAGAAACCCTCAAAATTTGATAAATCTCCCCAAAATTCGAAAAATAAATTTGGTAGCATACTCTAAAAAGGCAAATCTGGCATGCCTGTAAAATTTTGGAAAACTTGGCAACATTTCTGGAAAAAAATAAAAAATGAAAAATTGGCAACCCCATTGGTCCTTAAACCTTAAACGGTCCAAATGTACATATACGTTCACTCGCGCAGTGCCCCGAATATTTTGAAAAAAAAATCCTTTTTTTATATATAGAAAAAAAAGAGCACATTTTTTTAAGTGTTTTAGCACAAAAAAATTGTTGTTAGGGTCAGTACTTACCGAGATATGAGGCCGAGAAGTTGGCACTTGGCGATCACCTGACGGCAACATGGTAGGCACTGCCGCTTGCAGAAATTCAACATATTTACCGTTTTCTTCCATTTTTTTTTTTTTTTTCATTTTCTTAGTTTTCATGATATGATAATTATGTTTACAGTAAATCATTTGATATCAACGCCAATTTTTGTTTATACACCTATATTACATACGACATTATTATCACATTGTCATAAAGACACATGTACACACTGACAGGTGATTTTGCACACCTGGCTGAATCACACGTTTTTATCTACAACTATATACAAGTATTTACATGTCCCATTTATGTTTCTAGAACTCCACAAATGTATGATACTCCATGAAGCATGGATTCATACAGAGTGCCACCCCACACTGGTGACAAATGAATCGTGTGTCCTTCCGCTTTTGGGGTCGTTTTTTGGTGGTAGCACACACAATATACTTTTTCTGGGCATTCTTCTTCTTTTGGGTAGGTGGTATTGGTACCAGATAGTGACAGTTAGAAGTGATTCGGTCTGGCACTTTCCCCACTGGCTGTGGTTGGGGGACAGGTTGTGGCATGACAGGTTGCTGTTGAGGGGGCAGGTACAGGTGTGGTACCATAGTTTCTTGCTATCTTTTTGACGAGATTCAGAGATAAATCTGCAAAACGTTGTCGTTTTCCAATCTTTATTTCGTACATATTGAATGCATTGAGCACTGCAATGTCTACAAGGTGAAAAAAAGTTTTATATACCACTTGCGACTCGTCAACAAACCCTATCATCATGTCACACTTGTCAACTAGTCGCATATTGTTCGTATAGTCCAAGACAGCAGCTGGCTTTACAATAGGTTCTTTGTTGAACTAGCTCAGTCTGTCTGTTTGTACCATCTCGTTTCTGTGGATGGTTGATAGCAATGTCACGTCCCGTTTATCATGCCACGTCAGTGCCATGATGTCATTAGCATGAAACGCTTGCACTTCACCTTCAACACTGCCTCCAGTGAACCTTGGCATATGTTTCCTATTCCTTTTCACTGTTCCACATATATCAGTATTGTTCACACGTAGGAAATCAGCGAGCATAGGGCTTATATATCAGTTGTCTGTGTACAATGTATGGCCCTTGCCAAGGTATGGTTCCATCATCCTGCGAACATCACCGGAAATGCCCAACATCCGTCTGCCATCATCTAGTGTGTTTTTCCCGGTGTATACAATTACATCCAACACAAGACCACTCTCACAGTCACACATAACAAAAAGTTTTATACCAAAGCAATTACGTTTGCTCGGTATATATTGCTTGAATGAGATGCGTCCCTTGAACAGAATCAAGGACTCATCAACAACAATGTTCTTGAAGGGATAAAAGTATGCACCGAATTTCTGCTTCAAATACATAAACACTTTCCGGATTTTGTATAGAAGGTCATTTCTGTTTGGCGTATTTCTGTCTGAGAAGTGCAACATTCGTAGCAACAGAGTGAATCTGTTGCAGGGAAGGAGGTCACGGAGAACTGGAGTACTGATGAAGTGGTCTGTAGACCAGCAATTACGTACATTGTTCTTATAGATATGTGGCATAAGCATGACACTGGCAAGGAATAAATACATTTCAGCCCCTTTCAACCTGTGCAGCCGTGACGATTCTCCAACCTCTACTGTGTTGTCCATGACATATTGGTAATAATTGTTTGTCTGAGTCACTGTCAAGCTCATTATAGGCTCGTCAAAATACAACTGGAAATAGTCTAACTTTGTAGACTCATTCGTTATGGAACATCCTGGCTGGATATCACTTCCACTAGCATCAAAATCACAAGGCTGTGGCACGAATATACTTTGTGTCCAGTTCCACTCACGATCACATGGTGCAGGGTGGACCTGTGGCATGGGGCGAGGGGGGCAGGAGGAAGGACAGGAGTGGAGGCAGCTCATGGTTGCGGGGATGCCGGGCGGTCCTATGTCTGTCCACCCACTGCGCTATGCCGTGCCACCCACCACTACTTCCTCCATCCCCGCATACTCCCCTTCGTGATCACTTTCACTATCAGTGGCTGGGGTTTTGGATCGTGACCAGTCACGACCCTTGGGGATTGCATATGGCACACTACCTGAACGTAGATAACGACGCCTAAAAGTACGTTTCACTGGGGAATAATGAACTTCACTATCACTAGACGAATCCTCGATTGGCATAAAATCAATCTCATTGTCACTTACATCACTTTCACTATCACTAAAACACCGGGAAAATGATAGTTTCCTCTTGCGAAGTTGCCTATGGGTAACACTTGCCTCTCCAGAGGTGCTTGGCCCAGGGTCTTCTGTGGCCACACTGGCCACCCCAGAAGTGCTTGGCCTAGGGTCCGCTGTGGCCACACTGGCTACCCCAGAGGTGCTTGGCCCTAGGACAGGTGTTGCTACCCCAGCGGTGATGGGCTGGGGGTCATCTGGTTTATCATCGATATTTTCACTAATTCCTTGAATATTACTGGCCCCATTGGTGTCAAATCCACTAAACTCACGATCTGTATCACTTTCCTCGAATAGTAGAGTGTTAATACGAAAAGGCGTGAGTGAATCACGAGGATGTGCTATGATGTTGACCCAGGATGGAGCTGAATGTAACTGGTCCTACAATGTGGTACCCAGGCATCCCAGATTTTTTGTATACCACGCACACTGAGTGCGCACACCCATTCTCTCATATCTAGGTGACTCAGGCCTATCGCACCAATTTTGAATGAATGAAAAATAAAACGTATATATACGCTTGGGGCGCTACGTACATGAATGTATATATACTTTTGGACCGTTTAAGGGGTAAAGGACAGAGGGTGAAGTCAAGGGGAGGTGCAAAAAAATGAATTTGGAAAAATAAACAAATTTTGTAACATTCTCGAAAGTAGGTAAAACTCAAAAATTAAAAAATCCCCCCAAAATTTGCAAAAAAAAAAAAAAAACGAAGCATTCTCGAAAAGTGAGTAAAATTGGACCTTAGGGGATAGGATGTGGTAGGGGGAGCTGGGAAAAAAATAAAAAAATCGAAAATAAATAAAAATTTGTTCCGAGTAGCAGGGGCAATCTCGAGTAAGGGAACACAGGTGTGGACATAGACTGGAGGCATGGGTGTGGGCGGAGGATTGCAGACAGGGGGCACAGGGGGTGGGGTGGTGGTTCAGGGGCCTTGGCAGGGGGTGTGGTCATGGGGCGCAGGCGAGGGGCATGGGCTGGAGTCATGGGAGGGAGGCATAGGTTGGGGCAAAGGCGCAGGTGGAACCCTGGCACCACAAGGGTCAATAATACCTAGGTGAGAAATTTCACACCTAGGTATTAAGGGGGACCAGAAGTTGGGGGGATCCCTCTGCCATTTTGCATTGGTCTGGCATACACCACTCAGCCATACAGTATACTGCTTATAAGTAATTCATTCATGGTTGAATCAATGTAAAAAGTGTCCCACTAAACCTTTACACCAAATTATCCTTAAGGGAGGGGTGAGCCATTTTTCAGTGATCAGGAAATTAAGATTGAAAAATTATGTAAAAAAATGTTTCCTAACTGAAAAATAGTGCAAAATTCTGGCAACATTTTGATGTAATCAGCTGGTTTCTATCATATTCCTAAGCATGTTTTTCATTAAATGTATTTTGTTTTTTTGTTCCTGCTGTCATCAGAAATACATGTTGGCAATCAGTATTTTTTTTTCCTCCAAAAGTTAGGATTTTTGTGATTGTTTCG